GCCACACCCGCGCCGCTGCTCTCCGAGCGCTCAGACCGCGGTCGCCGCAGCCAGAGAAGGAGAAGGAGACGGACTCCCGCCCGCTGGCCGACATGCGCCTCGGCTAGTGGCTCCCGTTCCCACGATCACCACCACGCGTTCTCTCTCTCTCTATCTCTCTCTCTCTCTCTCTCTCTCTCTCACACACACACACACACACACACACTCACACATCAATATAGAGGAGAAAACATTCCCTTCGCGTTCCCTCCCTCTGCGCCCCGAGAAGCTGAGCGGCCGCGTGGCGGGGGCCCCCGGATCGCCTGGAAATGCTCCTCCTCACGCGCGTCCTCGCTTTCATTCAGCTCCTCTGTGTCTGCCGCCTGGGTGAGTGATGAGACCTCGGTGGGGTTCTTTCGGGGACCCTGGGGCACAGGTGGGGGTATTTCAGAGCGTTAGGTACTCGCCCTCGCCGCCGCCGAGTAGCGAGGAGGGAAAAGGGCCGGGGGCCGGGATGCCACAGGGTGTCAGCGGCGGGGAGAATGCGCCCCTCCCCACCTCTCACCTCCGCACCTTCCCTCCGCCCCGCGGGGGTTCATGCCCCCACCCGCGCAGGGAGACCCCGGGCGATCACTGCCCCTGTCCTCACCGCCTCTCCTCTTATTTTGCAAAGTGTAGAAAGAGCCTGTTCGTTCGCTACACATAAGAAGATAAATGCAGCCATAAATATAACCGTGGTGCGGGGCTGCATGCTACATCGAGTTTTTGCTGTTAAGTTCATGCTGCGGATATTATGGGCGTGAATGAAAAATACACGTGCCTGATGCGCATTACACACACACACACACACACACACACACACACTCACAACCCCACACTCACACACACCCCTCTTCCCTGCCCCTCCTCACACAATGCCTGAAAGGTAGTAACAGGAACAAGCACCAACCCGACTTTTCAGTGTTTTATCATACTTTTAATTTAGTCACATTCAAGTCTGGGCAGTTACTTTAAAAAAAAAGTTTCAATCAAAATCTCTGTCAGCCTTCCGCCACTGGTGCCAAAGCCAGAGGAGAGGAGAGCTGCCGGTTGATTTGTTTATTCGTGGATTCATCTTTCATCCACCACCTTTTAGGTTCCAGTATTTCATACTGGGGTTGCACTCAGAAGGAGCCAGTCAGTTGCCACTTTCCAGAAGAATTGTAAGATTGGATTTTTTTTTTGCATTTTATTAAAGAAATGTCTTTTTTTTTCCTTTAGAAAGATTTGCGATTATGATGGACTATAATAGGTTTGGAGGCATGCACTTGAAAGTTGGAACGCATACCTCCATTTATGGGTGCACATACTCTTTTTAGTTAGAGGATAATCCTTTTTTAAATGTTTAGATTGTTCATATTAAAGTAAATATTAATCTACATTTTCATCCAATAGATGGTGCTGTTCTTGGCACAGTCACATTTACAAGAAAAAATAATTTCAAGTCTAACTAGCTAGAATTGTACTGCAAACATGCTGGTAACTGCCAACACCCCCTCCCCCCAGATACATGGTCATAATATAAATCCCAAAAGTTTTATGGAAGTACTCAGGGGTGATGTGATGCTCACAGTGGCATTTAAGACTTGCAGGGGATTCTGGTCCTGGTTTTCTCTAGCATCATACAGTTGACTCTGGAGAGGGGAAGACATCTTTCCTAAGTGTTGTGGTCATCAGATACACACCTGTTGAATGTACATTTCCTCTGTAGATCTGTTTTAACAACAAAGCCAGATCCCCTTGGTACTTAGACCATTATTTAAAGTACATCTCACTGCAGTATAGAAATAACTGAGAGAATACTGCTTTGTATGCCTTCCAAACCGCATCCCCTGAGTATACTATGAATTTTTTTTAATTGAGGTATAATTCACATGGCATACAATTCATCTTTTTAAAGTGCACAATTCAGTAGTTTTGGGTGTTTTCACAAAGTTGTGCAACCATCACTGCTATCTAATTATAACATTTTCATCACCCCTCACATAAACTCCATTAACAGTCATTCCTCATTCTCTTGACCCCAGCCCTGGAAACTTCTAATGTACTTTCTTTTCTATAGATTTGCCTGTATGAGTATTTCATATAAATGGAGTCATATAACATGTGGCCTTTGGGGGCTGGCTTCATTCACTTAGCATAATGTTTTCAAGATTCTTCCGTGCTGTAGCCTGTATCAGTACTTCATTCCTTTTTGTGGCTGCACACACACACACACACACACAATCTCACATCAATCTACACATCTATATGCTGGAGGAGAAAACATTCCCTTCGCGTTCCCTCCCTCTGCGCCCCGAGAAGCTGAGCGGCCGCGTGGCGGGGGCCCCCGGATCGCCTGGAAATGCTCCTCCTCACGCGCGTCCTCGCTTTCATTCAGCTCCTCTGTGTCTGCCGCCTGGGTGAGTGATGAGACCTCGGTGGGGTTCTTTCGGGGACCCTGGGGCACAGGTGGGGGTATTTCAGAGCGTTAGGTACTCGCCCTCGCCGCCGCCGAGTAGCGAGGAGGGAAAAGGGCCGGGGGCCGGGATGCCACAAGGTGTCAGCTGCGGGGAGAATGCGCCCCTCCCCACCTCTCACCTCCGCACCTTCCCTCCGCCCCGCGGGGGTTCATGCCCCCACCCGCGCAGGGAGACCCCGGGCGATCACTGCCCCTGTCCTCACCGCCTCTCCTCTTATTTTGCAAAGTGTAGAAAGAGCCTGTTCGTTCGCTACACATAAGAAGATAAATGCAGCCATAAATATAACCGTGGTGCGGGGCTGCATGCTACATCGAGTTTTTGCTGTTAAGTTCATGCTGCGGATATTATGGGCGTGAATGAAAAATACACGTGCCTGATGCGCATTACACACACACACACACACACACACACACACACACACACACACACACACACTCACCCCCCCACACACACACACACCCCTCTTCCCCCTCCTCACACAATGCCTGAAAGGTAGTAACAGGAACAAGCACCAACCCGACTTTTCAGTGTTTTATCATACTTTTAATTTAGTCACATTCAAGTCTGGGCAGTTACTTTAAAAAAAAAGTTTCAATCAAAATCTCTGTCAGCCTTCCGCCACTGGTGCCAAAGCCAGAGGAGAGGAGAGCTGCCGGTTGATTTGTTTATTCGTGGATTCATCTTTCATCCACCACCTTTTAGGTTCCAGTATTTCATACTGGGGTTGCACTCAGAAGGAGCCAGTCAGTTGCCACTTTCCAGAAGAATTGTAAGATTGGATTTTTTTTTGCATTTTATTAAAGAAATGTCTTTTTTTTTCCTTTAGAAAGATTTGCGATTATGATGGACTATAATAGGTTTGGAGGCATGCACTTGAAAGTTGGAACGCATACCTCCATTTATGGGTGCACATACTCTTTTTAGTTAGAGGATAATCCTTTTTTAAATGTTTAGATTGTTCATATTAAAGTAAATATTAATCTACATTTTCATCCAATAGATGGTGCTGTTCTTGGCACAGTCACATTTACAAGAAAAAATAATTTCAAGTCTAACTAGCTAGAATTGTACTGCAAACATGCTGGTAACTGCCAACACCCCCTCCCCCCAGATACATGGTCATAATATAAATCCCAAAAGTTTTATGGAAGTACTCAGGGGTGATGTGATGCTCACAGTGGCATTTAAGACTTGCAGGGGATTCTGGTCCTGGTTTTCTCTAGCATCATACAGTTGACTCTGGAGAGGGGAAGACATCTTTCCTAAGTGTTGTGGTCATCAGATACACACCTGTTGAATGTACATTTCCTCTGTAGATCTGTTTTAACAACAAAGCCAGATCCCCTTGGTACTTAGACCATTATTTAAAGTACATCTCACTGCAGTATAGAAATAACTGAGAGAATACTGCTTTGTATGCCTTCCAAACCGCATCCCCTGAGTATACTATGAATTTTTTTTAATTGAGGTATAATTCACATGGCATACAATTCATCTTTTTAAAGTGCACAATTCAGTAGTTTTGGGTGTTTTCACAAAGTTGTGCAACCATCACTGCTATCTAATTATAACATTTTCATCACCCCTCACATAAACTCCATTAACAGTCATTTCCTCATTCTTTGACCCCAGCCCTGGAAACTTCTAATGTACTTTTTCTTCTATAGATTTGCCTCTATGAGTATTTCATATAAATGGAGTCATATAACATGTGGCCTTTGGGGGCTGGCTTCATTCACTTAGCATAATGTTTTCAAGATTCTTCCGTGCTGTAGCCTGTATCAGTACTTCATTCCTTTTTGTGGCTGAATGATATCCCATTCCAATAGGCCACATTTTGCAAATTCTTAATAAAACATAATTTGTAGCTTGTTGCTTTTGGTTATTTAGATTTTAGTTTATTGGATATTTTCTTTAATGCTTTGATGATGTTAGATTGTAAAGGATTAAATTAATTGTTTAAGAGTATCACACGTGTATGTGATGATATAGATTAGAATGTAAGCCTGTTTTAGGATTCAAATTGGGTGGGGTGTTTTTTGTGTGGATTTTTTTTAGACTGGCAATTGACTCCTTTATTATCCTTTCTCCATTTTAACAAAGTTGGCCTTTTACAGTGTTGCCTACAGGCTGACCTACGGGTCTTTACAACCTCAAATCTGATGAGTATCTTGACTCAGCCTCCACTTCAATTATCTTTCCCTTAACACAGTGATGGCGAACCTATGACACGTGTGTCAGAGGTGACACGCGAACTCATTTTTTTGGTTGATTTTTCTTTGTTAAATGGCATTTAAATATATAAAATAAATATCAAAAATATAAGTCTTTGTTTTACTATGGTTGCAAATATCAAAAAATTTCTATATGTGACATGGCACCAGAGTTAAGTTAGGGTTTTTCAAAATGCTGACACGCCGAGCTCAAAAGGTTCGCCATCACTGCCTTAACATCTACTCTGGTATCTGTGAATGTGTTTGTTACTCATCTTCAGTGCCCTGGAAGCCAACAAGACACCTCGCACAGGTAATAGATGCTCATGAGCCGTCTACCTGTTGAGGCCAGCAGCGCCTGGTCACAGCTCCGGGACAATTTGAATGTTAGGCTGCTATTCTTACCATTATCTGTAACAATTTGTAGAATTCACTAATGCTTTCATTATTAGCAATGAAGACTATCAAAATGACCTTATCACTTTTTGTCCAAAATATTCTGGTGTTTTGAATGAACATATAGACCAATTGCATCTTTCAAATAACTTCAGAACACAAACAAAATATCATTAGACTATTTAGACTGAAACAATTTTTTTTTTCCAAATTACTACCAGGGACTAAAGAGAAACATTATGGGTTTTCTTTTTATTTGGAGGGGGCGGTTGTTAAATATGTTGTGAGTTCATCTACTTGGACTATTCTGTTAAGATTGGCCTGTGGCCTGAAGTGTTTTTGCCAACTAGCTAGATCACAGTTCTCAAATTTTAGTGTGCATCAGAATCACCAGAAAAACTTAAAACACAGATTTCAGGGCCCTGAAGAGTTTCTGATTCAGTAGGTACGGGGTGGGGCTTGAGAATCCATGTCTAACAGATTCCCAGGATATGCTGATGCTGGGTTCAGGTCCACACTTTTACAACATCTGAGCTAGTTTGACATGTAAATGTTAGCATAGTATCTAGATTATTAACAAGTTTTTACTGTGGATTTGATTTCTGATACCTGACTTAATATTATTTTTTAAAAATTACACGAGTAACACATTTAATGCTAGAGATTCTTAATAAGAGAGGCAGAACTTAAAGATGACTCTAAGATAATCCCCTAAGTGAATTTGGACCTTCTCTAAAATAATTGAGAGGTGTGCTACTAGGTGGAGAACTAATGCGATGACTATATGACTCTAATTATTATTTAATCTTGACCCACTGAACAGGTAATGGGAAAAGCTGTGGTGGCTTTCCTGTAAGGAGGCTTAACTGTGAGTCAGAGAGGAGAGGTAACTGTTTTAAGAGCTTTTAAGGAATAGTTCCTTTGAACTAATGAGAATTCAGAATCTTTGAATTGAGTTATAGCCCTGCAAGGTACACAAAATGTAAATGTATAAATGTTATTGTTAAAGGGGGTGGGGGCTCGGTGCTAGAGCTTTAGTAGTGAAGAGTTCAGTAGCCACTCTGGCCTCTATACTAGTAGACTGGTGTTAAAGGGGAGAGATTAGCTCTTAGTTCAGAAGTGAGTGCTCTGTTCCCACAGCACATCATCCATGATGGGTTTTAGCATTCACCATATCATTTTGTAGTGGATCTCTCTTATCTCCCCCTCTAGACTAGTTCCTTGAGGGCAAAGAAAGTATTTCATTCACCCTTGGACTTAGGATCCTTGGACTGAGAACCTATAGTAAGTACTTGATAAATATTTAATGTACGGGTCATAGAGAAAAAGAACTGTGAAGGTTCTTAGACAGCAGTAGCTTTTTGCTGTTGAGATGGGTCCATCTCATCTGACATTTCCTTCTTTGGATTCTGACCCCTACCCGAGAGTTAGGTCACTGTTCACTTTGAGCCATCCATCTTTAATGCCACTCTGGCACCTAATCTTCACATTCTTTGATTCTCCCAGAAAGGCCCATAAGCACCACCTAGATCCAGACACTACCTGTGTCTTAAAATGGAGCTCCCGTGGTTAACCTTTGAGTGAAGGTTAAATTCTAGATGAGTTGGCACTAATGAAGCTTGGAGATGGCCCAGGGAGCAGGGCATCAAGACATTGTATGTGCCTGTGCGGGTGTGTGCATGTGACTGTGTATATACACATGTTTACCTGTTAGGGAGGAGAGGGCAGTCAGGGTGAGGGGTGGTCAGTAATGTAAAATGAAGTGTCTTGAGCCCATGAAGACTGTGTTTTCAGTCAGTCAAAAGCCATCATATTGGATTAAGTCTCCTCCAGTTAAGCTGGCTGCAGGAGGTAGTGGCCAAAGCAGTTCTGGAAAGCAGATGAAGGACAGGAAGTACAGTTATTACATAGATATGCATGCTTTTGCAATTTGTCTCTAGTTTTATCATTAATCCCAGAGATGATATGCTACACCTAGCTTAGCCCTGCACATAGCAGGTATTAAGCACATATTTGAATTGAGTTGAATTAAAACGGAACTGGGTGTGGGATGAGTTAGAAATCTTTAGAGGAGTTAAAAACAGAAAAAAAGACTTGGTCCTCTTTTAGGATCTTTGCTTTATTTTCTCCTTTCTCCCATTCCTTTCTTTCCCTTATTTGTTTGTTTTTTGGTGGCCATTTATCTTCATCTTCACTTTCTTTAAGCATGAATTTAAGATTTAAAAAACCCTCAGCATTGCCCAGCATCTTGATGAAGAATTTGATAGGGAGGATATTGATGGTGTTTGATACCATTATTTAAAAATATCTCACTGTGATATAATTTGGGGA